TTGACAACTGCATCAAACCAGAAGCTGCAGCTTACTTAGACAAAGACCTCTCTCTAGCAGAGGTACATGGAGCACTCGATTCCATGCAACCAAACAAGGTCCCAGGCATCGACGGGCTAACGAGAGAATTTTGGCAGGAGCACTGGCCTCTGCTAGGGAGGGATCTCCTGCGATTTTACCGAGAAGCATATAAGAAACGGACATTAGGAGAAGACCTTAGCACGGGAGTAGTAACACTACTATACAAGAGAGGGGAAAGGGAGGACATAAGGAATTATAGGCCAATATCCTTACTAACAGTAGCCTATAAAATAATAGCAAAGGTCGTAGCCAATAGAATAAGAAATGTAACTGATAAATGTTTCCATTTAGATCAAACAGGATTCATCCCAGGAAGATTCATCCTGGATAACGTAATCTGTCTGAATGAAACAACAAAGTTAGTAAGAGATAAGAAATTACAAGCTGCCATTCTCTTCTTTGACTTCGAAAAAGCCTACGATCAAGTCAACTGGGACTTCCTCCAACAATGCATGGAGAAAATGGGAGTGGGGACARTTTTTAGAAACTGGGTGAGAGTGGTATAYGCGGACGCAAGGGGAAGAGTCCWGGTCAATGGCCACCTATCAGATTCGTACAGAATGACGAGATCGGTAAGGCAAGGTGATCCACTAGCTGCCCCAATATTTCTCTTTGTCATGGAAGCAATAGYCACTTTCCTACGAAAGGACCCCTCCATAGAAAGATTACAGACCCTTGATGACGGGCGGAACAAGCGGATCCAGCTTCCAACAGTAATGTTATTCGCGGACGACCTAACCGTCCTCATAAGGGCATCGGACTCATCCTTTCTAGCACTAACAAAGGCTATGGAAGCCTTCCAACTTGCATCAGAAATGAAGATAAATTGGAMGAAAACAATAGGATGGTGGCTCTCAGAAMCMCCCCCCCCTCCAAACAATGAATCGACACAAGGATTACAATGGATGGACCACCAAGTCCCTTTTAAATTCCTGGGAATCACAGTTACCCTGGCAGGGACCAGCAACTCGATAGCAACGAGCCTACTCTCAGCTCTCATGAATAAGTATCAGGGATGGCAAAAGATCTACACWTCGCTGATGGGTAGGGCGATAGTCATCAATTCATCGATTTTCTCCATGGTCTGGTACACTGCGTCAATTTGGGACCCACCCACCCACTTCACGAAAGACATAAAGAGAAAAGCAGCAGCTTACTTATGGACAGGAGACGCATCCAAGCACCAATTCATTTCCAAAGTAGCCTGGAAATATGCAACCAATCCAATAGAGGAGGGAGGGATCAACCTCATAGATCCCGTGACGGAATATAAAGCTCTTCAGACAAAGTGGATCTTAAGACTCTTGCTAAAAACGGAACTACCATGGCAAGAAATGGCCCTATACCAAATAAGGAACCTGCTACCATTTAAAGCACATGACAGCATAGAGGGTCACACATGGATCATGAACAGATACTGGACACCCAGAAGAGAAGGAGGCAGACCTAGACAAAGGAACCAGTTACCGAACGCAGATCCCCCAAGCGGCCATTGGACAAAACTGATAGCAACATGGAGGGAAGCCTTCCCTCAAAGAAAAAGAACTCCAAGAACAAAAGAGGAAATCTTGAGACAACCACTGTTTGGGAACGACTTCTTGAAAGATTAAAATGGAAAGACATGGTCACTCAAGGCGAAGGGGAAGAGATGGAGGACTTGGGTAGAGAAGGGCATATGGAAGATCGAGCACATATGGGATGAAGGAAATAGCAGGTGGAAATCAGAAGAGGACCTTAGAACTAAACTTAAAGGCCATCACAATTTACAGAAAAACTTAGACGAAATGATAGACAGTATCCCAATAGCTTGGAGGTCAACGCTAAAAAGAGGTGTAGTTTGGAAGAAAGGAGATTGGGCAACATTGAAGTCACAAGAAACACCCTCAGTAGTTCTTCCTTCGTAAGAAAAGAGGGAACTGATAGACGCATAGCCAAATTTGAAGTCCATGAGGTGGAGGACACAGATAAAGCAATAGTGGAAGTCAGAAAAGACACCCTAATCAGCCTAGACTTCCCCCTACAAGACCTGAGGAAGGTCAGAGAACTTTAAAACGAACAAGTAGGACCAAGGAAAGGAAGAAAGAAAGTAGAACCCCCCATCTATTTGTTTAGACCAAATAAAGACATATTGGAGCTAGAAGTTGACCCCAATGAGTGGGGATGGTATCAGAATAGAGGGAGGGGAAGAGCCAAGAAGTGGATCCCGCTCCACGAATACACAGTAAAACTGGGGTATAAGATAAGACGCAAGCTAGCAAACCCACAACCGATCATAGAGGCAAGGTGGGAAAAAAACCTCCAAATAAACCCCGCTTTCTTGCAAACAATCCCATGGTCCTACTATGCAACGATCAGACCTCAGAAAGTGAGAAGCTTGCAATGGTTGATAATTTACATGGCGTTCCCCACCAATGAGTGGCTAGAAACAAGGAGGAGAAAGGAAGATAGAACAGAATCCTCAGCACACTGCCAAATGTGCCAAGATCAGATAGCAGAAACACTAACTCACTGCCTAATGGAATGTCAGCACGCCACAGCGCTCTGGCTCAAGTGCAAAAAGGCTTGGGCCAACCTATCTAATAATGAATTCCCGACAKATCAATTCCTCCTACTAACRGCGATAGACAGGGAAGGTRTAATCCCCGAGGAGGATAAAGAGATTGCAGATTTACTGCGAAGAACAACCCTGTGGGTAATATGGAGAGCCAGATGTGCAAACACAATAGGAAAAAAGAAGATAACGGCAAATGAATCATGGGAAGAGGCAAGGGAAATGGTAGAAACAGGAGTTAGAGTCGAATGGAAGYGAGTGCTCTGGAAAATGGACAAGGAAATAGAGGAACAAAAGAGGATCAAAATACAGAAAGAATTTGAACAACAGTGGCTGAAGGAGGGGCTAATGGCAAGGATAAGTGGAAAAACCCTTCAATTCACGAACTGGTGGGAACCGGACAGCCCAAGAACAAATCAGAATAACACAAACACAATGGAATTAGACTGACAAGAAAGGAAAGCTTGGGGAAGGAACACGAGCAGCCACAGGAACAGAGGAGGTTAAGAGGAAGCAAGGAATAGTGCCATGAAGAAACAGAAAGGGCACAAAAGGAAACTGCAGCAACGCCAACCCRCCATGCATGAAAGAGGTCATCGTAACACAGCCCCTCCCTTACCGCATGTACCCTCGCCCCCCCGCCCCAACCCCATAACCCCAAGCCCATCGACCCTGAATCCCAAATCCTTCACCTCTGTACAGACCCCCTCAGTCACCGCCCCCCCCACCCCAACTACCCCACCAAGAAACCATAGGCATAAACATCAGCTTAAACACAGAAAATCCAGGCAGTGTCAGACCATAAAAATGCACTACAGACAACCAGGGTTCAGGGTTTTAGCATGAGGGCTTTAGTTTTAAAGATTAGAAAGGAATAAGGCTTATAGGGCCTAGGACCTCAGGGATTTCAAGAGATTCGCAGACAGTCCAGACCGCTCTAGCATAACACAACAACCCGACAGCATCACAGCTGAGAGGAGCAGGACTCGGTCTAGACAGATGGGCAACAGCCAGACAGATCAAATAGCACAGGCTAAAATAGGCAGGGGTGAGGGGTGGTACATCCTTCCTCAGGGAAGTAATCAATGCCGTCCACTCGGACCTCCCAGCCATAATGGGGAGGAGCGTG